GGCCATTGGCTGGGGCTGGGGTGGGGGTCCCCACCAGCGGGGGAGCAGAAGGCAATGGCCAGGGTGTGGCAGGCTGAGAAGGGGCCTCCGGTTATCCTGGGCTCAAGAGCCAGCTGTCCATGTCACCTACCAGACGTGGGCCCCTTTGCACAGTTCCTGATGTCCCATCTCAATCTCCCTCTTTCAGTTTAATCCCGTTACCCCTTGTCCTGTCACTCCCTGCCCTTGTGAGCCCCACGCCCTGGCTCTCCCGAACGCTGGGCTCTCCCCTTAGCCTCTGTCAGCGAGAGGATCAACGGCCCTGACAATCTGCAGCCGGTAGCAGAGAACCCTGAGGGCTTTGCCACCACCAAACCATTCCGATACCCGCGCTCTGGTCTCCTTGCACGAGCTGTGGGCAATGCTGGGGCTGCTCAGAGGATGCTCAGGCTTTGCAGCTGGAATCTGCATTAACCTCGTCGTCCTCCTCCCGTCACAGACCTGCTCGGTTTAATTTTCCCTTTTGGAGCCGAAACACCCACATGTTCTCCCCTCAGACATAGAGGGACCAGCCAGACGTGATGCTCCTGGACAAGGAGCGAGTCCCAAGCAAGATCACCCTTTTCATCCCATTTCTGCTTTCATCCAAATCCAAAAAGGACAAGCGAAACAGGCTTTGAACACAAGGTTTCCCGCGACAGGACCTGCTGCGGGCTCAAAAAGCACCCAAAGCTCAGCCCAGGGATGCTCAGCCTGGGGGCAGCCCAGGCCCTTTCCCTTCTGGCCCCGAAAGGGCTGGCACGTTTTGCATTGATTCCCAAGTTCTTCCCAGCTTCCCCCAACCTCCTTTGGCAGGAGGAGATGTTTGGGCTTCATGTGAATCGCTCCCCGGGACACCCCCGAGCACACCGGGGAGACGCACCCTCGGCACAGGCCCTTGCACCGGGGGGTGGGGGTCTCCTGGTTTATTTTCTCCATAAAACCCCAAGAAACACTGTCCTTGCAGAAAGCACAGGGGATTGGATCCTGATCCCAAGGCCTCTGGGGCGATCCGTTGTCTTCCTGTTGTTTTCCATAGGATTTGGATTGGGCTAGGAGGCACTGGCTCTTGTCAGGGGCCAGGGAGGAGGTGGGTGTCTGGGTGGCCAGGCTGCCTGACCAAGCTCCTCTCCAGACATCGGGGCTTCCCGATGGATCACCTCCTGCTAGGCATTTTCTTGGCCTTTTACTAAAAATACAGGAATGGGAGGAAAATCAGTCAAAAGAAAGATGTCTACTTCCCCCTTCGGTTGCAGACTTTTTTTTTCAAGGGCACAGGGATCGATAATCTTCATTAGAGTTGCCAACATTTGCCTTTTCTCCAGAAAATTCAGTGCACGGGGTCTGGTGTGCTGCTGCAGGATGATAAATCGAGCGGAGCGCTGCCTGGGTGCAGGTGGGGGGGAGAGAACACCCAGGCAAAACGCGGGTGCCCACCCTCCTGCACCCCCTTATCGGCCCTGGCAGCACCGGGCATCGCCCGGGGGGCGTCAGCTCCCGCGGCAGCTTCTGCCGTCAGACAGGAGACAACGTGGGAGCAGGGAAAGCAGCGCAGGGAGAGGACATTCCACAGGGTCGGTTTGCCGGGGGGAGGCAGGGACCAGGGTGTCACCCCCCAGCTGGGACTGGGGAATGGGGCCACGGGCAGTGCCAGGGGAAGCATCCCCGTCGGCACGGATTGACAGGACAAGGGGTAACAGGTTTAAACGGGAAGAGGGAGATGGAGATGGGACATCAGGAAGGAATTCTTCCCGCAGAGGGTGGGAGCACTGGGACAGGTTCCCAGGGAAGCTGTGGATGCCCCATCCCTGGGAGTGTCCAAGGCCAGGCTGGATGAGGCTTGGAGCACCCTGGGCTATGGAAGGTGTTCCTGCCCGTGGCAGGGGGTGGGGCTGGGGGGGCTTTGAGGTCCTTTCCAACCCAAACTGTTCCGTAATCCTACGACGCAGTGCAGTCAGGGTGTCAGAGACACTGGGATGTATAGCTATGCCCTCCTTTTTCCCATTAAAACGTCCTTCCAGCTCCCCATTCCTTTTCCTGCGTCACGCTCGGTTCCGACGGGGCAGATGGTGCTTCCCGTGCCCAGAACAGGCTCTACCCCAGCGTCCTGCTCTGCGGAAACCTAAACACCCAAAACGCTCTGCGTGCACAGAGCATCGTCTGACACATCCAGACAATTCAGAGAATCATAGAATCACAGACTGGTTTGGGTTGGAAGGGACCTTAAAGATCATCCAGTTCCAACCCCCCTGCCATGGGCAGGGACACCTTCCACTAGACCAGGTTGCTCCAAGCCTCATCCAGCCTGGCCTTGGACACTCCCAGGGATGGGGCATCCACAGCTTCTCTGGGCAACCTGTTCCAGTGCCTCACCACCCTCTCCGTGAAGAATTTCTTCCTGAAATTCTTAACAGTCCCCGCTGTGGGCAGGATCGGGCTCCCCAGGGCTGCAGAATGGGCGGCGTGGGGTGGAAAAGAAACGCATAAACAACGTCTGGATGGGTCTTGATAGCCAAACGCTTATCTCAAGCCTCCCCCACCCAGCCAGCTGCTTGGCCAGTATGAGTCAGCTCGTTTCTCGTCGGCATTCTGCCAGGAACGAGCCAGATCAACCTTTTCACTCGGTTCGTCCTCCCTAAAAAATAGGAATCCTCCAAGTTCCCCTTGCCTGCCCGAAAACACGCAGGTCTCGCAGCGAAATGCCGGCAAAGTCGCCGGCGCGCGGCCACAGCGGCAGCACAGCTCTGTTACCCGATTTCCAGAGGCACCCCCTCGCCCCCAACCCCCCAAAAAACATACAAAACAGAGGGAAGTGGTGTTTTCTGGGAGCAAAATGCCCACCCTGCTCAAGCTTACAGCCCAGCCCCGTCCTCCCCGACCCCCTCTCAGGGACACAGACTCAGTGGAGACTTCACAGGATGAGCTTTATTGGGATGTTAGAAGCTGTCGGCTCCGCGCAGCATGTCGGACACGCAGCGGGAGGATGCTGCCGGGG